TTGAGGGCTGTAAATGAGAATCTGTTCCTGGCTTCCCTCCTAGCTTCTAGTAACCTCAGGGGTTTTTTGGCTTGTAGATGACCTTCTCCTTGTATTTCCACGTTGTTCTCTATATGTGTGTCTGTCTCTGTCAAAATCATCCTTTTTTTATAAGGACACGAGTCATATTGGATTAGAGACCAACTGAATCCCCTCATGTTGATTGATCAGCAGACTCTATTTCCAAATAAGGTCACATTCACACAACTGGGGGTTAGGACGTCAACAGCTTTTTGGGGGTGATAATTCAATCCATAACACCCTGCTAGCAAGGAAAACAGCATTCAGTGCTATGTATAACAGATATCTGGCTACTGATAAGTCTATTTTACTTTCCTGAGTGGCCCCTCATGTCTAAGTTTTAAAACTTTAATATACACCATCTCTCTGTTGTATGGGAAACTTCTGCTTAGTACATTCAGGTAATGTTTATTGGCACTTAGCATAAGTTAGAATTATAGCAGATATTATCCTGTATGTTACCTGAGACTCTATAGAGCTTATCTAATGTCAGAACCTTCAAGGTATTTGTTTTGCAGATGAACACATTGAAACTGAGTCACACAGCCAGTAAGTGATTTAGCTGGGTACAAACATCTGTCTCCTTGACATCAGACCTGGTGATCTTTGAAGAGCTGTGCCTCTGTTGAGCAGTTGTAAAGCAGAGACCTGCGATGGCAGGTGTGAAGGCAGGAGCCAGAGGAGCTTTTCAGAGGTCCAGGTGGTGTCCTCTTGGCTGAACTTTGGCTGGGGCCGTGGCTAAGGAGGAAGCCAGTACCCAGCTGAGAGTTGGACTGTGTGCCTCACATTCACCCATTTGATTGGTATATTTATCTTAATTCCATAGATGGGAAGAAGGATGATGCTTCCCTGCAGTCTTGAAATGTGTGATCTTGTTTTCAGTTGTCTGGCATGCCATTCGGTTCCCTTCATAGAGCCCTGTAAATAATGAATGAAATATCAGTTTTCTTTCAGGTTCAGTATGGAGAATGGCTAAGAAACAAAATACAATTAAAAGATAAAGAAAAAAAGTCAAGACCTAAAGTTCTACAGACAGAGAGGGGAAATAGTCTTAGGCACAACACTTCAAAGATCTCCAGCCTGATGTTAAGGAGATGGAAGTTTGTACCCAGCTACCTCACTTACTGGCAGTGTGACTCAGCCTCGATGTCTTCATCTACACAACAAATACCTCGAAGGTTCTGAAATTAGATAATCCCTATAAGAGGTCTCAGGTACTGTTCCCAAGTTGTTAATCCAGGTTTTATTTTATTTTTATTTTTTTTTCTGCTGAGCAATTAAAAAAAATAGTTCTTGATTTTTTTCTAAACAAGAGCTTCATTAAGATAAATTCATACATCATAAGCTTCATTCTTTTAAAGTGCACAATGCAGGGAGTTTTAATATATTCACAACATTGTATATCAATCACCACTAATTCTAGAACATTTTCATCATTTTAAAAAGAAGCTTTCTACCCATTAGCATCACTCCTCATTCCTGTCTTTCCCCAGCCCCTGGAAACCACTAATCTGCTGTCTTTATGGATTTGCCTATTCTAGATATTTCCTATAAATGGAATCATATGACAGGTGGTCTTGTGTAAACAGCCTCTTTAACTTGACAAAATCTTTTCAGAGTTCATCCACTGTAGCATGCATCAGTACTTCATTCTTTTTTGGGGGGTGAATAATAGTCCATTGTATGGATATACCACATTTCATTTATCCATTTTTCAGTTGATGGACATTTGAATTGTATCCACTTTTTGACTATGATTAATAATACTTCTATAAGCATTTGTACATAAGTTTTTGTGAGGATACATATTTTCAGTTCTCTTGAGTATATATCTAGGAGTGGAATTGCTGGTCATGTGGTAACTCTACGTTTCATATATTGAGGAATTGTCCAACTACTTTCCCCAGCAGCCACACCATTCTGTACTCTCAACAGCAGTGTCTGAGGGTTTCAGTCACTCCATATCCTCACCAGCACTTGTTATTGTCTTTTTAATGTTCTCCATCCTAGTAGGTGTGAAGTAGAATCTCACTGTAGTTTTAATTTGCATTTCCATGATGGCTAAGGATGGTGAGCATCTTTTCATGTGCTTATTGGCCATCTATAGATCCTCTCTGGGAAAGTGTTTATGAAGATCCTTGGCCCACTTTTTAATTGGGCTATTTGACTTTTTACTATTGGGTTGTGAGAGTTTTTCATATGCAGAGTCTCCTATGCAGGAGTTTTTCATATGCGTAATCCTTATCACATATATGATTTGCCATTATTTTTTTCCCATTCTATGAGTTGCCTTTTTTAGGTCTCGTTTTAATTGACTTGGTAGATATTATTTTGAAAAGGTTTTTCTTCCAGCACATTAGAGATGGCCTGAGATTCAGCAAGTGAGCATGATGTACCCAGTGTGGTGCTTGGCATCTTGGTTTGCGTTGCTGTCCCAGCTCCGGTGCTGCAGGTGGGCCAGGTGCCCACTAATGATTGACTGTTCTGAATGCTATGAAGAATGTGAATGGCTCCTTAAATAATTTTTTCAGAACAAGAGTTGTTACTTTCTTCATTTGTCATCTCTTCTTCTAAGTTTAAATGAGAAAACCCCCACATTTTCTGAAAATGTGGCCTATATTATGAACAGAAAGAAACTTGGGTGTTATTTCCACTTAATGAACCATGTTGTAAAGATCTATCCTACCCCAGCTGTACAAGGGAATATTTCCTCTCTCTGTTTGTAGAACTTTAGGTCTTGACTTTTTTTTTTCTTTTAATTACATTTTGTTTTCTAGCCAGCTCTTCTTCACAAATTACCAAAAAAACCCCACAAGATTTCTTAATGTTTTTCCTGTTAACTTAATTAGTGGTCCTAATGAGGGATGTGAACTGGAACTTAGTTTTGTGTTTTCAGAAACATTTCTGAGTCAAAATCACATGTCACACGTTTTCCTCCCCCGTAATGAAATTGGACAAATTAAGTACATTTTCTTTCTCCTCCTTTTTCTCCTGCCAGTTTTTGATTGGATATTTCCCTTCTGCCAGATGCAATCTGCTTTTGTCTTCTGGCTTTCTTCTGAACTTTTTGGTTTTATAAGTTGAAAAATATAACCTCCCCCACGACACCAATCTGGTTTTGTGACTAGCTAGTTATTCTTAATGTCTGAACTTGATTTGGCTGCCGCTGTCTGAGATACAAAATGTGATGGTTTCTCAGAGCCAAGCTAGTGTGGTTTTCACTAATCTTTTTCTCATTTAAGATTTAACTCCAGATGAAGGTGAAATATTTTACATTCTGGCCAATTCATAAGTTTATTGGCACTGAACACTTCTTGCCATTTGCTGCAAGCTGCCTTATTTTTATTACCAGAGCATTTGAAAAACATGCATGTGTTTTAGAGACCACATGAAGGATCTTATCCCTTGACTGGAGGGGGAAACCAAGACTCAAAGAGGTTGTGAATTGCTGAAGATCTCCCAGCAAATCCAGGGTAACAACCCACAAACCACAAACGATGAGGATGATAATCCAAGGGTCAAGTATTAAATATAAAATGAAGTATTAACATTTGTATTATCCCCTTTCCCCAAATCTCATTTCTAATGGATGAAGATGAAGAAGGAAACTGCTGGCTGGACTTGAAAGCCCCAGTCTGTTGTTTTGTGCCTGCCTCTGACAGATCCCTTGTCCAGCTGTCTCAAGTCCTCTTTGAAATGAGGCAGGGAAATCAATAAATGTAATCACCCTCTTTGAGCCTCAATTTCCCCACCTATGAACCAGGACCTCCCCAGTCAGGTGGTGAGAATCAAATGGGAGCATGTGGGTGGATGTCATGGACCAGTTAGTGGCCTTGTTGATCTAGAGGTAATGCATAGGATGAAGTGACAAATACACACACGCAGAGGCTGTCACCTAGCAGTGTTGCAGAGTAAATTCCAATACAACAGCATTGTCACTTCATAAATAGCTGATTGGTTTCACCTCGTGCCACATTTTAGCAGTTGCTCGTGACTGTCTGAAGGGCTGCGTTAAGGAGGCTTCTGAGACCGTGTCCACGCTTAGCTGGACAGATAGGTCTGCTCTGAATCCAGGGGTGGGAGACCTTGGTTTCTACCACCTATTTGCCATCCATGGGCTACACAAATGCACAGCATTTTAATAGGCAGGAGTGTGAAGTCATTTTGACTTGCGAAGGGGAAAGCTTCTAACTGTGTGGGCCTGACTTTGACCACAATACAATTTCCTCACTTGTGATAACTTTGCTACAGGCAAGAGATGGTTCAATTTTACAGCCTTAGAAGGGGTGTGCCCCGAGTCCCTGTAATTCTCTGGGATTAGGACGCCAGTGTGTGCTCCAAATCGGTCACAAGCCGTTGAAACTCCCTTGCTTTTGGTGTAGCAATTGATCTCCCACATTATTTACCCTCCTTCTGATGGCCAGAATTCCGGGGCCTGCTGTCATGAAAATGGCAGATTGGGTTTATTTCAGGACACATCCAGCGAGTCAGTTGAAATGGGTTGCCCAGTCCCCCAGTGTTAAATTCCTGTTTTGTTACCATGTGATGGATTGTGTTTTGTCGTCTCACATTCCTGGTCTGTGGTCTTGAGGACCCAGGGGCCGCCCCTGGTGTTGTTCTCTGCTCCTGGAGGCCGCATGGTGCAAAAGGTCAGTGGTATGGAAGGCTCTGTGAGATGCCATGATTCACGTTTTGGATCTTTGAGCACAAAATGAATCTTCGATAGAGGAGCTCACACCTGGCCCCAATGTGTGGGTCATGTCCAAGCACAGAATTTATTGCATATGATTTTCCTCTCTTGTCTCACGTGATTATTGTTGCTCTTTTCTTTCTTTCTTTTTTTTTTTTTTTCCAAAGGTTCAGTCGTTTGGGGAAAGGATTGTGCTTTTCATTCTAAACGTCATTATTTTTGGAAGACTGGAGAGAAATTTGGATGATGATGACATGTTTTTTCTACCTCACTCTGTGAAGGAACAAGCTAAAATCCTGTGGAGACACGGAACGGCTGTTGGGTTTTACACAACCAAGATGAAAGGTGAGGGATGCACGGCCACCACTTCAGGCTGGACTGAGCGGGGCTCTCTAGGGGTCTGCCTGGTCTGGAGGGTTCCCTCAGCACCAGCTATGTGGAGAGAATCTTTTCTCGTGGATTAAGTTGGGTGTAAATGAACCCCATGTATGGATTCCATTTCCACCACATTTCTCATCTCAGTGGCAAACATGGTCAAAAGCATGTCCCTTTAATTTCCAGGCAGTGCCATGTCCCCTCTAAAAAACACCTAATTGTAGTTAATGGTATAAAATTCATTTCTTTCCTTCAGTGTTACTAGTTAGTTGTCAGGAAAAATACCAGTGCTAATAGCTGACATGTGGAGCAAAAGCACCTTGGATGCCAAGATTTATAGACATTACCTCAGAAGAGAGGGAGTCCGGCCATGATAACAAGGTTAGGGTGAAAATCTCTGACTCGAAGGGCAGTCACCAGTGATAAGTGTGGGACTGGTACCATTTTGCTGAAGGGATTTGTCTTGTCTTTTTTTTTTTTTTTTTTTTTTTTAATTTTTTGAGGCAGGGTCTTGCTTGATGTCACTCAGGCTGGAGTACAGTGGCACGATCACGGCTCACTGCAGCCTCAACTTCCCTGGGCTCAGGTGATCCTGCTGCCTCAGCCTCCTGAGTAGCTGGGACTCCAGCCACATCTGGCTAATTTTTGTATTTTTTGTAGAGATGGGGTTTTGCCATGTTGCCCAGACTGGTCTCGAACTCCTGAGTTTAAGTCATCTGCCTGCTGCAGCCTCCCAAAGTGCTGGGATTGCAGGTGTGCGCCACTGCGCCTGGGCCACTGGTTTTCTTCTTTAAAGTTGCTTTCTTTTTTTCATTCTTTCTTTTCTTCTCTCTCTTTTTTTTTTTTTTTTTTTTTTTTTTGGAGATGAGATCTCTTTGTCATCCAGGATGGAGTGCCGTGTCGTGATCATAACTCACTGCTGCCTCAAATTCTTGGGCTCAAGTGATCCTCCTGCCTCAGCCTCCCAAAGTGCTGGGATTACAGGCATGAACCACCGTGCCTGGCCTCTTTATTTAATTTTTAAAGGCTGTCAACATCTCTCACCTAACTAATTCCAGCCCCATCATTTGGTTGTCAAAAAGTTCTCAATTTTAACAAAAATCAATCTACTCAGTAAACTGCCATGGATGTACTATGAGTTAGCTGTTTTTCTCCAGCACTAAAGATGCTGAGTTTGGTTCTGAGCCATGTTCACATTGTGTGTGTGCTTGATCTGTCCAGAATGCGATAAATTTGTGTTTCTCACTTTTTTGTTTTTTCCTCAGTGAGATACAGCAGTTTCTCATCCAGACCACTTCTTCATTTCTTGGTTAATTATTTGCAAAGTCAGTTGTAGCTTTAGCCCCTGTGGCTTTCATCTCCTTTCCTCATGACAGCCTCAGATTTTGATGCCCTTTCACTTTTTTGAATGGTCATGTTCTTTCACCATTTAAGATAGACCAAAGGATCTAGAGAAAAATTAAAATGAAAAGGAAGCTTTTTGTAACTCCTCTTTCCTGGGAGACTCATCAGTGGTCATTTTCTACCAAATGGCTGTTTTTGAATCTGTAACCAAATCATTTGTGGTGTAGACATCCTACTAATAATAACAAAAACTGTTAACAGATTCCAGCTTGATGTGTGAAACCACAGGTAGGTGGCAGAAAGAGCTTGACCTTGGTCTTGCCTGGCCCTGCTGCTATTCCTGGAGGCAGTGATACCAAGGGTCCTGATTCTGGGGAGGGACGCAGGGGTTGTCTGCAACTGCCATGCTCTTCCCCAGGCAGATTCAGAGCCTTGGAGGAGAGGGAGGACCTAAGGATGCTGAGCTGAGGCAGGTCAGACTGGGTGCTTGAATTCTGCCTTTTCATTTCTGATGGATCCCACAAATTCAGTGAAAAGTTCCCTGAAGCTGCTTGTGAGGTCACATTATTTTCATCAATGAACTGGTTTTTGAAGTGGCAATGGACTGTTAGTTACTCGGCAATTTAGTGGGTTTAAAAAGTGTCAAACGTGTGTTGTGGCTCGTGCCTGTAATCCCAGCACTTTGGGAGGCCAAGATGGGCAGATTCCTTGAGCTCAGGAGTTAGAGACCAGCCTGGACAACATGATGAAACCTCATCTCTACTAAAAGTACAAAAACCAACTGGGCATGGTGGTGCACACCAGCTACTCAGGAGGCTGAGGTGGGAAGATCACTTGAGCCGAGATCATGCCACTGCACTCCATCCTGGGTAAAAGAGTGAGACCCTGTCTCAAAAAAAAAAAAAAAAAAAAAAAAAAAAAAAAAGTGTCAAACCTGTAGAAAATAAAATAAATAAAGCAAATGTGTTTTTCAGGTGTCCATTGCCAACTTTTTTTTTTACTGCCTTTTTATGGATTAATATTTTTAGGGAGACAGAATGAGGGATGGAATCAATATGTATATTACCAGCAGCAATGTCTGAGAGTTACAGTTGCACCACATCCTTGCCAGTACTTGGTATTGTCAGTCTTTTTCATTTTAGCCAGTCTATAAGGTGTGAAGTGGTGGCTGATTTTGGTTTTAATTCACATTTCACTATTTCACTAATGATGGATGATATTAAACATGTGCTTATTTGATGGTCATATAACTTGTTTGATGAAGCGTCTGTTCAAATATTTTTGCCCATTTTTAATTGTTTTTTAAATTATTGAGCTTCAAGAATTCTTTAAATATTTTAGATAAAAGCTTTTTATCAAATACATGTTTTGAAAACATTTTCATTTTGATGACAGTGGTTTTCAAAGAGCAAAAGTTTTAAATGTTGATGAAGTCTAATTGATCAATTTTCACGATTATTCAGTTGAAAATATTTTCTAAAATACTTTGTGATTTCTAAGGGTTCTTTAAAAGTGAGTTTTTAATTTCCAGATATTTGGGGGCTATCTCTGATGTTTTATTTTTTGTTGATTTCTAGTTTAATTCTGCTGCAGTAAGAGAATATACTCTGCTATATTTTAATATCTGAAAAAGAGAGTTGTTTTATGACCTAGTGTTGGTCTATCTTTGGGAACATTCTGTGGGGACTTAAAAGAGTATATTCTGCAGTTGTTGGGTGTAATGTTTAGAACTGTCAGGTTATGGCGATTGGTGGTGTCATTCATATCTGCAAGGGAGCAAGAGTGGGGAGGAGACATGCTCTTTTAAACAGTTGCTATCCAGCGTCGTTTTCCTTCAGGCCAAAATACTTCTGATACAGGTTGGATATTTGTCCCCTCCAAATCTCAGGTTAAAATGTGACCCCCCCATTGTTGGAGATGGAGATGGGGCCTACCGAGAGGTGTCTGGGTCATGGGGACAGATCTCTCATGAATGACTTGGCACCTTCCCTGTGATACTGAGTGAGTCTAGCTGTATTAGTTCATACTAGAGCAGATTGTTTAAAAAAGCATGGCACCTCCCATCCCTCTCTTGCTCCCTCTCTCTCCATGTGACACGGCTGCTCTCCTTTGCCTTCCACCATGAATGGAAGCTTCCTGAGGCCCCACCAGAAGCAGATGCTGGTGCCATGCTTCTAGTACAGCCTGCACAACCAGGAACCAAATAAACCTCCCTTCTTTACAAATTACTCAGCCTCAGGTATTCTTTTATAGCAGCACAAAACAGACTAATACAGCTTTCCTTAATATTTCAATTGACTTAGCAGTGAATTATAGATGGCAGATGAATCTGAATCACCTTTGTAAAGTCAGTTCTATTGACCACCATTATTTTTTTTCCTGAGTAAGGGTCACACTTTCCTGTTTTTTTGCATATTTAATAATTTTTGGCTGAAAACTAGTCATTGCAGCAACTGATTTTTTTTTTTTTTTTTCCTGAGGATTTTGAGATTTTTGTTTTAGCAGGCATTGAACTTGCCTGGATTTAAACTGCAATCACCTCCCTCCTTTGACATGTGGGTATTACAGGTCTCTCCCTTAACATGTGGAGACCACAATTCGAGATGAGATTTGGGTGAGGATACAGAGGTCTAATCCTGTGTAGTTCCATCTTTCAAGAGTGGGTATCTCTCTGGGCTCTGACTTCTTTTTTGCGGGATCCCTTGGGGTCTGCTCCACTCATATGTAGATAAGCCAGATTTGGGAAGTTTATGCTCTGAATTTGGGTCTCACTAATTCTGTGGTTCTCATGCTGCTAGGGCTTCCTCATTAAATTTCTGCTTCTTTTCCCATCCTGAATTCTGATATTTGACACATTTAGCTGGTAAGGCTGCGATTTTTCCCACCAATGTTTTTTTTTTGTAGCCTTGCAGGTGGAATTAATCCTGTGGCTGGTAAGCTGTAAACTCACAGGTTCTACCGATTTCGGTTGCAGTTTTCTGAAAGTAAATTTTCCTCTGGCTTCTTTTTTGTTTTTTTCTGAGATGGAGTCTCACTCTGTTGCGCAGGCTGGAGTGCAGTGGCACGATCCTGGCTCACTGCAAGCTCTGCCTTCCGGGCTCACGCCATTCTCCTGCCTCAGCCTCCCGAGTAGCTGGGACTACAGGCAACCGCCACCACGCCTGGCTAATTTTTTGTATTTTTTTAGTAGAGACAGAGTTTCACTGTGTTAACCAGGATGGTCTCAATCTCCTGAACTCATGATCCACCTACCTCGGTCTCCCAAAGTGCTGGGATTACAGGCATGAGCCACTGTGCCCAGCCAATTTTCCTCTGGCTTCTCTCTGCTTTTGGATGCCTTGCAGTTTCTTTAAATATTTTATTAAATTTATTTTTTTAATAGTTATTGTATGTAGGGATTTGCATGACCACTTCATCTCACCAGCATTATCCAATATTCTGTTCATGTATAGAACATAGAATTTTGTTCCTTGCCTTCCCATCTCTTCCTGTAAGTTGAGAGAGGGATCTATTTAGATGCATTAAAAAACGGTTGCTATGCATGCAGGTAAATTAAACAAAAAGTAATTTTGATAGTGATTAGGTATATTTTGTGATCTTTTGTTATTTTACATATGTAAGTTAAGAAAATTTGCCAGTGGAGTACATGTGGTTTAATTGACTACAGGAAGGGTTTGTAGTTCAAAAGTTCAGAACAGTTATTGATGTTTCTTCAGCCTTGGCTCTGTCTTGGTGCCTGCCACAGTGTTATGTGGTGGTGCTGTATTGGTGTTTGAGAGATGGGCACAGCAAATGGCATGCTTCCTCACTTTTCAGTACAACAGTCTCTCTTCATAAGCTTAGATCCATATGATTCAGAATGTCTGTTAATTTAGCCTGGACTTGGCTGAAGTTTATAATTTCATTCTGTGAGGAAAACAAAATGTACAAATTCATTGCATAAATAGGATCACAGGGGCCAGGTTTTACCTACTGATATGGTTTGGATTTGTGGCCCCGCCCAAATTTCATGTCCAATTGTAACCCCCAGTGGTGGAGTGGGGGCCCAGTGGGAAGTAATTGGGTCATGGGGTGGACTTCCCCCTTGCTGTTCTCATGATGTGAATGAATTCTCAAAAGTTCTAGCTGTTTAAAAGTGTGTAGTACCTCCCCTTTCAGTCTCTCTTCCTCCTGCTCTGGCCGTGTAAGATGTGCCTGCTTCCTCTTTGCCTTCGGCCATGATTGAAAGTTTCTTGAGGTCTCCCCAGCCATGCTTCCTGTGCAGCCTGTAGAACCCTGAGCTACTTAAACCTTTTTTCTTATAAATTACCCAGTTTCAGGTATTTCTTTATAGCAATGTGGGAACAGACTAATACACCTACTGAAGGGTATATGTTGTTTCTTTTCTTTCTTTCTTTCTTTCTTTCTTTCTTTCTTTCTTTCTTTCTTTCTTTCTCTCTCTCTCTCTCTCTCTCTCTCTCTCTCTCTCTCTCTCTTTCTTTCTTTCTTTCTTTCTTTCTTTCTTTCTTTCTTTCTTTTTTTGAGATGGAGTCTTGCTTTGTCACCCAGGATGGAGTGCAGTGGCACAATCTCTGCTCACTGCAACCTCTGCCTCCCAGGTTCAAGTGATTCTCCTGCCTCAGCCTCCTGAGTAGCTGGGATTACAGACACGTGCCACCACGCCAAGCTAATTTTTGTATTTTTAGTAGAGATGGGGTTTCACCATGTTGGCCAGACTGGTCTCGAACTCCTGACCTTGTGATCCGCCCTCTTCAGCCTCCCAAAGTACTGGGATTACAGGCATGAACCACCGCGCCTGGCAGAGTATACATTGTTTCTAAGCATTTTAGCTATACCTTTTCTGTCTGCAAGTAACTTTAAATCTTATTTTTTATTTTTTAGTAACTCATAGTGTATTTATAAAATGAATAAAAAGTGTATAAAATGAATAAAAAGTGTATCTACCAAAATACACTTTTCACTGGGAAAAATAAATAAAATAGACAAATGGATCTACACAAAGTAAACATTAACTTTGGTAGATTTCAGTGTAGTTCATATTTGCCCTTATTCCCCCAGAGCTGCTCAACTACCAAAAATTTTAAAAATATTTTTAACTGAGATTTTATTATGTTGACATTTGTTCCTCATTCCACATCATCTTCAGCCAAGCTCTGAGCACTTACAATTCTCTGACTAATTGTTGGGAGCTTAGTCAGAAGCATCTGGAACACTGGTGGTGGAAGAGTTTGCTGTAAGACCTGCAGTAACCGCTGTGGCTGTCCACACACAACAATTGCATTTGTGAGATGGTCTACGCCCTTCTCATATTCACCTTGAGCTAGTAACTCTTCACCAAGCTGTATTTCTTCAAGGAAGAACTTCTGAACAGCTTCAGCATCTTTAAAGTCAGGTAACTTGGAAAGCCCAGCTCTCTCCTTGGCAAGCTTCTGTTTTTTTCTTCGTTCTCGAAGCCTGTTCTTGAAGTTGGGGTCACTTCGTCTTTTGCGGTCGAAGTAGATACAGTACCCAATAAAAAGGGTTCCGCATACCCCGGCGGCGATGGCGCTGTTCCGACCCATTATCTTCTCTACGACGCTGAGCGTGGACGGTGGCGGCAGAGATGGCGAAGGAGTGGTGGGCCACGAACCCTCAGAGCGGTCGGCGCAGCTCACACCCGACGGCCGCGGGCCAGTAACTAAATCTTATTTTTAAAAGTTGTAGCGTAAAATTCATTTTTGGGGGACTTTACAACTCTGTGAATTTTAACCCATGTATAGGTTTGAATAACCACAACCACAATGAAAATAAACAATAGTTTCATTACCTCCCCCATACACTTCTTCCACCCTTCCCATAACCCCAGCAACCACTGGTCTGTTCTCCATCACTACAGTTTTGTCTCTTTTAGAATATCCTATATGTGAAATCAGGCAGTGTTTAGCCATTGGAGACTGACTGCTTTCACTCAGCATAGTGCCTTTGAGATTCATTCACAATAATGTGTGTATCAGTAGTTTGTGTCCAATTACTGCTGAAGAGCCCAGTCAGTTTTCAAACAAGTGAGTGCCTTTATATAGAATAAATAAGATATTTTCAGGTAGACCCCTCTTTGGACACATTTTGCTAATAGGGTGGTTTGAGTTTCTCCCTTTGTTTGATGGTTCTGTAATTGTCTTTCTTACAAAATATTGACACTTCAGCCATTCACTATTTCATGTTGAAATTTTCCCTGGGTAATCAAAATTGTGAGGTTTTACTTTAACTTTTGCTTTAAAATCACCATTCCACAAAACTGTTAGCATTCAAGGGAAGAAAATACTGGACTGGGGAGTGGAGAGTGGACCAATTTAAGGCAGAGCTAGTAAGTATTTTGGTTTTGTATAAAAATCTAAAAAGAACACCTTTGCATTTCAGATTCCTGAAAGCCCAACACAAATGATTCCTGAAAGTCCTTGAACAAATACAAGGGCAACACTTAAAAATATTAAACTAGGTGATTTGGAGCCCAGGCAAGCATGGGACCTGTGAGATGACAGTGACACTGTGGAGTGGGACTCAACCCTGCCTGTCACCAGGGCCTTCTGTTCTCTGTCTTCCCCAGACACCAGGCCCACAGGGACCTCCTGTACTGTTGTCCCATCAAGCAGGGACCCCCTTGCCATCTTCCAGACTTTAGTAGAAGCATAGCAAAAAATGGAGGGGCAAGAGTGCAGTGTTGTTTCAGGTACCAAGTCTGCCACCCAAAGAGAAGGGACTTGCCACTGCAAGGAACAGAGGTCTACTCCTGGAATTACAAGAAGGGAGGGCACTGGAAGAGGGCAGGGGAAGTTCGTGGGGTGCTGCCTGGCTTCTAAGGCCGGGATGGTGACCCCACAGCTGCTAGTGGGGTGCTACTCTGCTAGTCTCTTTGCAGACCAGCTTCCTTTACCTACTGAAGTTTCTTGCTCCCTTAGAATGTTGACTTTAGTTTGCTGTGATGCCAGCCTGGCTTCTAACTGTACTGCTTTCAAGGGCTGGGACCTACTATAGTGCTAGTCCAGCTGGCTGGTGGATTGGTTTCTTATGGATGGATCATGGGTCCACCTTTTGCTCAACTGTGGTCAAGTGGGCTGGGTGCTGTGGATCAGAGATGGCTGTCTAGCCCTGTCTCTTTAACTGAGGCTATGGTGGGGCAATTTTAAAGAAGAGCTACGGGTTTGGCAGATATCCCATAATAATCCATGGAGGAATCCTGGTGGTCTCACCTAAAAGTATTCTGGTGTCAACCTGGGCTGGAATACTCTTAGTCAAGACCACCAGGCAGCCCTTTGTTGACAACTCTAATTTTTAGAGCCCCCCCAGAGGACACAGCTTTGTGCTGCTCATGTAGTGTAGGATACAGGAATTCTGGGCTCTTCCCCAGACTTACTGAATCAGAAACTCTGCAGTGGGGCCCAGCAGTCTGTGTTAACAAGCCCTGCAGGTGATTCTCATGTACTCTAAAGTGTGAGAACCACTGACCTAAGGCACACATTCTCAGCAAGGAGGTATTGCCCCCACTGAGACAGTGATTTGTTCTTGGGGAGCAAAAAAAATCCTAGATATTTACAGTGATTTGTGACTTTTCAAAGATCAACATTATTTAACAAAGTCTTATTTTTTGTTAGTATTTAATTAAAAATGTCTTAAAAGGCTACTTGAATTGGCCATAATGAAAAATGTTTAAGAAACACTGATCTAGGGTATATAACTCGAACTGGGCTTTCCACCTGTGGAGTAGGCACGAGTTCAGCGTTCCTAGGTAATGACCAAGCTCAACTGTTTTGCTAAATGACTGTAGCCGTTTATATTCTCACCAGCAGAAGGTTGAAGGCTTTGTTGCTCCTTATCTTTGTCAACACTTGGTATTGTCCAGCGTTTTAGTGGTTGCTGATCTGATGGCTATGAAATGATATCTTATTTTAAAGCCTTTTTCCAATTGTTTCTAATATATAGTTGTTTTTTTTTTTTGAGATGGAGTTTTGGTCTGTTGCCCAGGTGTGCAGTGGCCTGATCTCGGCTCACTGCAACCTCCGCCTCCCGGGTTCAAGTGATTCTCCTGCCTAAGCCTCCTGAGTAGCTGGGACTACAGGCACACGCCACCACGCCTGGGTAAGTTTTTGTATTTTAGTAGAGACAGGGTTTCACCGTGTTGCCCAGGCTGGTCTCAAAATCCTGAGCTCAGGCAATCTGCCTGCCTTGGCCAATATATAGATTTTTAAGTATTGATTTTGGGTTTGTCAGCCTTGCTAAAATCTCCTATTAATTCTATAATTTTTTGGTGGTTTCTTTGCTTTTTGTTCCCAATTTTTTTATTGTAGTAACATACACATAAAATAAAATGCATCTTACTTATTTTTAAGTGTATGGTTCAATGGTATTAAATATATTGATGATGTTGTATAATCATCACCACTATCCATCTCCAGAACGCTTTCCATATTATAAAATGGAAACTGTGCCCATTAAACAATAACTCGCCATTTCACTCTTTCTCCAGTTCTTGAAACTACCATTTTACTTTGTTTGAATCTGACGATGTTAAGTGCCTCACATAAGTGGAATCACTCAGTATTTTTCCTTCTGTGACTGGCTTATTTCAGTTAGCATAATGTCCTCCAGTTTCACCTGTGTTATACCGTGTGTCAGAATGTCCTTCCTTTTTAAAACTGAATAATATTCCACTGTATGTATATGCCACATATTGCTTATTGATTCATTTGTTAGTGGACACTTGGATTGCATCCATGTTGTAGCTGTTGTGAATAATGTTGCTGTAAACATGGGTATACAAATATCTCTTTGAGACTCTGGTTTAGGCATACACTCAAAACTGGAATTGCTGGATCATGTGGCAATTCTAGGTTTCATTTTTTGAGGAACCGCCGCACTGTTTCCCATGGTGGCTGTACCATCTTACATTCTTACCAACAGTGCACAAGGGTTGTAATTTCTCCCCATTTTTTCTAACACTTATTTTTTTATGGTAACCATCCTAATGGATGTGAAGTGGTATCTCGTAGTTTTGATTTGCATTTCCCTAAAGATTACTGAGCATGTTTTTACATGCTTATTGGCCGTTTGTATATCTTCTTTGGAGAAGTATTTATTCAAATCCTTTGCTTATTTTTTGTATTGGTTGTGTGTACGTAATTAAAAAAATTTTTAAAAATTACATAATCTATACATATTTCTTTTTTGCGACAGAGTCTCACTGTTTCACCCAGGCTGGAGTGCAGTGGCGCAATCTCGTTTCACTGGAAGCTCCGCTTCCTGGGTTCACGCCATTATCCTGCCTCAGCCTCCTGAGTAGCTGGGACTACAGGCGCCTGCCACCACACCCAGCTAATTTTTTGCATTTTTAGTAGAGATGGGGTTTCACTGTGTTAGCCAAGTTGGTCCTGATCTCCTGACCTTGTGATCCACCCGCTTTGGCCTCCCAAAGTGCTGGGATTACAGGAGTGAGCCACCACGCCTGGCCATAATCTATACATATTTCAAGACATCATGTTGTACACCAAAGATATATACAATATTTCCTGGCAATTAAAAAATATTAATTTAAAAAATACTCATATTCAAATTGTGAATTTATCTCAAATTCATACGAAGCAAAATGGTGGTTTCAAGAACTAGAGGGAGAGGGAAACAGGGAGTTATTGTTTAATGGGTACAGAGTTTCCATTTATAATATGGAAGGAGTTCTGGACATGGATGGTGATGATCGTTAGATAACGTTATTCATATTAAAGTTTTTTAAATTGACAGATATATGTATATTTTTTGGTGTACAACAGGATGTTTTGAAATACGTATAGATTGTGGAATGGCTAAATCAAACTAATTAATGTATGTATTACCTCACATATTTATCAGTAATTTGTAGTGAGAACACTTAAAATCTACTCTCATAACAATTTTCAAGTATACTATATGTTGTTATTAACTGTAGTCACCATGTTGTACTGTAGATTTCTTAAGTTATTCTCCTGTGTATGTGAAATTTTGTATCCTTTGACCGACATCTTCCCAGTTTCTCCCCACCTCTAGCCCTTGGTAACCACCATCCTACTCTCTGCTTCTATGAATTGGACTTTTTTAGATTCTACATGTAAATGAGATCATGCACCCATTTTTAAAATGGGTTATTTGTTTTCTTGCTATTAGGTTGTCTGTGTTCCTTATATGTTTTAGATATTGACCCTTCATCTGATGTATGCTTTGCAAATATTCTCCCATTCTGTAGGTTGCCTTTTCATTCTGTTGATTGTTTCTTTTGTTATGCAGAAGCTTTTTAGTTTGATGTAGTCCCCTTTGGGTATTTTTGCTTTTGTTGCCTATGCTTCAGGATCATATTCAAAAAAACCATTGTCCAGACCAATGTCATGGAGCTTTCCATGACATTATAGTAGTTTTACAGGTTTCAGCCTTACATTTAAATCTTTAATCCAGTTTGAGTTGGCTTTTGTATATAACGTGAGATAAGAGCCTAATTTCATTCTTTTGCATGTGGATATCCTGTTTTCCCAACACCATTTAGTGAAATGACTGTCCTTTTTCCAATGTGTATTCTTGGCATCTTTGTCAAAAATCAACTTATTGTACATATGTGAGTTCATTTCTGGGCTCCCTGTCATGTTCCATTGGTGGATCAGTCTGTTTTTATGTCAGT